CATTTTTCTATATTTGTATGAAATCATTTTTGCCATCTTAGTAGTATACTAAGACTTGTTTCTAGCTTATGTTTCCTTTTTTGTCATTGTTATACAATTTCAATATAGAGGATTGGTTTTATTTTATTTCTTTGAGTAAAAGTAAAATTCAGATTTTTTATATAATCGCTTTCTAAGGTACTGTCAGAATATATGCCTTCGTATCTACGTATTGTGAGAGTAAGTTTTAATAGTCTGTTTATAATGTTTAAAGTAAAAACAAAACTTTATATCCGGTTTAATTAAACAAAACACTTATACTAATAAATGTCAAGTGATAAATAATCTACTTGTTCACATTTAGGTGTCTTTCCACACAGCGAATTTCAAAAGGTTCAAGGGAGACAACGATGGCAAATGTTTCTTTAATTAGTGGGATGGAGTTATCTTTAGCTGGAAGGATTTCAAATCGCTGGAACAAGGAAGATAAGTACAGAAAAAGTTCCATCTTGGCTAAAGATTCGCCTAAACAGATTCGTCGGCCAATGGAGAAAGGAATGAATTCCTCTCTGTTTTTGATGTTGCCTTGTTCGTCAAGAAAGCGCTCTGGACGGAAGTTACGTGGGTCGCCCCAGATTTTTTCATCCATCAGGACGGCGTCCAGGTTGGGAAAGACTTGCGTCCCCTTTGGGATGGTGTACCCGGCTACGGTTGCATCCTGATTGCATACGTGGATGAGACTAAAAGGCACCAGACTAGCCATCCGTTGTGTTTCCATGATAAACGCTGTCAGATATTTAAGCCTGGGTCTATCTTTGATAGTCGGAGCGCGGTTCACTCCGACTTGTTCTAAAATCTCCTGGTAGATTTTTTTCTGAACTTCCGGATTATGAAGCACAAACAACAAGCTCCGCAAGATGGTGGTGCTTGTTGTCTCAGTTCCTGCGCCAAACAGGTTGTCAATAACTCGAACTAAATTAGACTCGTCCAGTAAAGTGGATTCGCCACGATTTTCGTTTTCTTTCATTTCGTTAATGTAAGCGGCGATGAAATTTTTCGTGTTGGTGGAGTCGTGTTTAATTTCATCAATCATTTTCTTCGCAAAATTCTGGGTTGCACTTAAGTTAGCAATCAGCTGTTTAGACTTAAAAGGGTCAAAGGGCAAAAGTCGAAGTGCGGGCAGGAAATTTAGCAGAGAGGTTCCGGAAATAGATGCAATTGCTAAGTTTAAAGCTTTAATCAGTTCAATGAACTTTGGATCATCGAACTCAAATCTCTTGCCAAAAATAATTGAGCAAATGACATTCGAGACGCTGATGTTGGTCAGAGTCCTGATGTCTGTAGGTTTTCCTCCTCTTTTAGAAAGTGCTTCAATGTATTTAGAAACCTCAACAGATATTTTATCAGCCAAAGTATTTTTTCCCATACCAAAGTTTCTTAAGATTACCAGAGATGTCGTTCTTTGCTCTTTCCAATTGGCGCCGGAAGAAGCTACAATGCCCTTGGAGTGTAAGGGTAAATTGGCCGCGACAAATCCCGTTCTTGGTCGGTCAGAGAAATGGTCACCTTGCCTGACCAGCGCCTCTTTCAGCACGTCGTACGTGTTGAGCACCACGACCTGGTTCATCCCAAACCTCAGGCTGAACGCCGGACCGAACCGCTTGACCCACCGTTCGAACTGTTTTCTGGGATCCTTCTCCAGCAGATACATGTGTCCGATGAAAGGTAAAGCTATCCCAGGTGACGGTGGGAGGTTTTTTGATTGGCTGGCCGTCCAGTACCAGGACAGGACCAAGACGAGCAAGACGGCCAGCCATGTGGTGGTTCCAACATCCGATAGTAGCTCAAACACCATGGTGGTCTGTGGATGGAAATATTAAGTCAGTTATTTCCCTTTTCCATTTAGGTAAAATTTCTATTTAAATATATTGCGTATATGTGTATTTGCTAAACCTTTTGGTTGGAGATATATCGTAAATTATTTCCATTGCTTTTTTTTGTAAACCTGTCATGATCATATACTTTGTAGTTCATGTTTATTTCGGCAAAACTATTCAATAAAAATATGTGCCGTAAATTATGGTGAGTCGCTGTCAGTTTTAAGCCACCTGTCTAACGATTTTCTGACGCTACAGGCTACAGCCTCTCATATCTGAACTGCCTGCGACTAGTGTTATGTCCAGCAGATGACTATGTTACTTTATAGATTACATCATTGAAGATTAAAGAGCATTCTTAGAGTTTTTCAAGGAAGCAAACCAAAAATTGAAAAATATATTTATTTATGAAAAAAGAATTACACCTGAAAATTTCTTTGTTTAAAGATACATGAATTCTGAAATTAGTCTAGAACTATTTTTGTCTCAGATTCTACACACTTCTAGAAAGTGTGCCGTGGTTCGAAGTGACAACACTTTTGTACTTGAAATTTATTTTTAGCTCCCTTTGAAAAAAATCGAATTATACGGTCTCTTCGGCAATGTGTGTTCTCAATTAAATGGGGACCAATTTTATGGGTTACAAGCAGAGATTCTTCCAGGCTTCTCTTCGGGGGGGGGGGGGGGGGAGAGGGTATCTGCCCCCCTCCGAAGAAAGTCTACCGCCCCCCCCCCCCGCACAGGATTGAATTTATATAGTAACAATATACTTTTACTAGTGACCGCCCCCCCCCCCCCCGAAAATGTTGACCGACCCACAGAAAATATCAAGTGCCCCCACAGAGAAAATAGTCTGGAAGAAACACTGGTTGCACGCCTTCACAAAAGACTGTAACGCATACAAGATACACACGCTCTTACACACACACATATAAATATATATATAGGCTTATATATACATATATATATATGGATATATATATATATATATATATATATATATATATATATATATATATATATATATATATATATATATATATATATGCATGTGTCGTCAAAGAGTTCGCTAATAAAATCTAAAACAAGCTGTTGATTCAAACAAAATGGAATATATTACGTAAAACATCATTTTAGTGTGTTAATTGGATAAGTACTTTTTCAAGATGGATGAATTACGAAATAATAAATTCCCTTGGGATTCTGAGGATATTTACTCAACACTGCCTAAGACATGAAATTACTCACCAAGTACTGGTCAAATTTCAACGGTCTGATTGTATTAGGGAACTTATTCAGTACTGTTTGTTCTCCTCTTCGTTTGCAAAAGTCCACTCTTTAAACGCTTGTATAATCTCCCCACCGCTCTTTATATACAGCTATGTAGGTCATGTAACAGTTTTTGACCAGGCAGAGCCAACAATGGGTAAAGCCAACACAGCTGGGAGTGATGGTAGAAAATTGAGCGTGAAATGAATGGATCAGGTATTGATTTAACTCTTACTGGCCGGATGTCACATAGAGTGTGATGTAAATTCGGCTTCATTTACCTAGGACGTGGAGAGACGCGGCAAGCGCAACGTAAGGGGTCATCCGTTTATGACGTCCACACGCGGGTGGGGGGGGGGGGGCGGAGGTCCGAAAAAAACTGACTTTTGTGGACGCATATGGACTTGTTTAAGGAAAAAAAGTGGATTTTTGTGGGGGAGGGGTGGCCAAAATCCAAAAAAATTGTGGACGTCATAAATGGATGACCCCTAACAGGTCAGATTGGTGAATATAGTTTTGTGCCCCTCTAGGGTCGGCTGCCGCACCCGCTCTCCCTTAGCTACGCCTTTTCCCCCATGTTCAGCCGTTGTTACAAAAAAAGACAGACCCCCCCCCCCTCATTGAAGGGGGGTGGGCTTAAATTTCGGGGGGGGGGGGGTCGGTTTAAGTATTTTTTATATCAATTCTATTTCGTTCTTACTTTGGCAGTGCACCCTCCCTTCCACCTTCCCCCTTCAATCCCTGAAAAAATGCCTGAATTTTTGCTAACACCTGACGTGGAGCGTATGACATGGAGAGTGACAACACCTTATCCGCTTAGGGTTGGATGCCAAAATTGTAGTGCCCAATACAACGTTAGGCAAAGGGTAATATCCGGTTGTGAGTACCGTGCCAAAGACTAATGAAAAAAACACTTACCTCAATAAGTACAAATTTGTTGTAGTAGTCCCTTCCCCTACTTTAGCCCCTCGAAAACAATGGTAAATCTTGTAATGGCCGAGTCATGTAAAGACAAGGACCTGGGTCAAAAAAAAAAAGTCCTGTGATTGCAAGGCTCTGTGCTGGTAAAGTCCTGCGATGGTGACGCCCAGTGATGGTGACGTCAAGTGATGGTGACGTCCAGTGATGATGACGCCCAGTGATGGTGATGTCCAGTGAATGTGACATCCAGTGATGGTGACGTCCAGTGATGGTCACATCCAGTGATTGTGACGTCCAGTGATGGTGGCGTACAGTGATTGCGATATCTCTACGTGTTTAATACTGGTCACCAGTTGTTACGTCCAGGTTAGTTTCAGATAAACAACAACGCTTCGTGACTACGTTCACTACTTTTATTCCGTCTCAAATATATACATTCCAGAGTAGCCCTCGTCATAATCGCTACCAACTAACCCCTGACAACCATTCACTGCAACTTTTATACCGCATTCAACCTTGGGATATCAATACATCAACACACCGGGGTTAACAATACTCGAGGGTAAACTCAACTCACACCACATACGCACTCTCCCCTAATTTTAAATTATTCTAACCTATTTCTATTCAACCTACAACTGACCCGTAAAAAAAAAAAAAAAAAAAAAAAAAAATATATATATATATATATATATATATATATATATATATGTATATATATATATATATATATATATATATATATATATATATATATATATATATGTGTGTGTGTGTGTGTGCGTGTGTGTGTGTGTATGTGTCTGTGTCTGTGTGTCTGTTTGTCTGTGTGTGTCTTTGTATGTGTAGGTGTCTGTGTGTCTGTGTGCTCGTAACATAGACCACTATTAAGATCACGTGATTCTGTTACGCCACAGTGGCAACAAGAGGTGTCATAAAATGTAACTTTGCCACCGTGGCTCCATAATGCGCAGATCTTAAATAACATAGCAGTACCCGGTCACAACAGCCGTGGACGAATGTTACACAGGAAGGAATTCCATTTTGTTATAAGCAGCTAATTCGTTTAGGTGAGAAATATAATTGTCTTTTAAATTCTATTTAGTTTTTCTTTTATGATTATGCTTACACAAAAAGTAAGGTTAAACACACACAAGCATGGTACTATATATATATATATATATATATATATATATATATATATATGTGTGTGTTCGTGTGAGATATATCTATAGATAGATAAAGCTGGAGACTGTATATATACATACATATATATATATATATATATATATATATATATATATATATATATATATATATATATATATATATATATATATTATATAGAGAGAGTAAGAGAGACACATAGACAAACAAGTATATCAGATCATAAATATGAATTTTATATATATATATATATATATATATATATATATATATATATATATATATATATATATATATATATATATATATATATAATATATTGTTCCAGAAATGTCTATCGACTATTTGACGACACTTGGAACTACTTCATGGCTTCTGATCCTGACTGTCGGTGTAGCCGTCTACTTTTGGCTGACGTCTGAAAAAGAGCCCCAAAATCTTCCACCAACCCCAGGCATTGAGCTGCCCTTTATCGGACACTTGTACCTGCTAAAGGAAAACCCCAGGCAACAGTTTCTTCGCTACACTCAAACCCTTGGTCCAATTTTTAAGCTTAAAGTAGGAACATGGACGACCGTTGTTCTGAATTCGTTCGATGTCATTAAAGAGGCCATGGTCAAGCAAGGTGAATATTTTTCAGATCGACCTCGATTAGATATCGTTCGGAATTTGTTTCCACATATATATGATGGGATTATCATGACGTCGGGTCCTAATTGGAAACAACAAAGAACAACATCATTGGGAATTCTGAGAAACTTTGGCATGGGGAAGAATATCATGGCGGAGAAAATCTCTGAAGAAGCTGCAGCTTATGTCAAAGAACTCGCCTCAACTGAAGGGAAACCTACCAACATCAAATTGCTCACAAATATGAGTGTCTCTAATGTTATTTGTTCCGTAATTTTTGGTCAAAGATTTGAGATAACTGATCCTTTATTTATGAGAATGATACATCTCTATGATCATATGCTGGAACAAGGATCCGGTGTAAATATTGTTTTTAGTCTGCCAATTTTACGTCATTTACCCTTTGACCCTTTTGGGTTTGTTAAATATGGATTAACTGTTAAAGAAATTAATTCCGTGATCAAGCAGCTGGTTCAAAAAGTCAGAGAGCGAAGCATCAGCGAGTCCGATAGTTTTGTTGCTGCTTATAATTCTGAAATGAAAAAGGCAGAAAAATTTGGACAGCCATCTTATCTGGATGAACAAAATCTAATCGGATGTATTGATAATCTTTTTGCTGCAGGAACGGAGACCACCAGCACCACAATTTTATGGAGTCTGTTGTATGTCTTGCATTATCCAGAAACCCAGGATAAAATTTTCCGAGAGATAAAAGAACATATAGGAACAGATCGTGCACCAAATATCTCGGACAAACCAAAGCTTAAATATTTAAATGCTTTCATTATGGAAACACAAAGAATGGCCAGTCTAGTGCCGTTTAGTGTCCCGCATATGTGTAGCAAAGACACCATTCTCATGGGGTTTAATATTCCCAAAGGAACCCAAATAATGGTTAATCTCGATTCAGCTTTAAGTGATGAAAAAATCTGGGGCGATCCTGAGAATTTCCGACCTGAAAGATTTCTGGACGAGCAAGGAAATTTGATAAAGAAAGAAGAGCTCATACCGTTTTCTATCGGTCGCAGAATTTGTCTTGGGGAATCCCTGGCTAAGATGGAACTTTTCTTGTTCCTGTCGTCCATGTTTCAGAGGTTCGAGTTCCTGCCTGTTGACCCAGATCATCTTCCTACATTAACTGAGATTTTAGGAACAACTGCTGCACCTACTCCATATGAACTGCGATGCGTTTTAAGAAGTTAAAATGTAGATTAAAACCAGAACAGATTCTCTAAAGTTTCAAAGATATCTTTAGCTTTTATATATTCGACTTTATGACTTTTTATATAATATTATCCAAAGTTTCAAAGATATGATTAGCTTTCATTTATCCGACTTAGTGAGTATTGAATAGATATAATCATAACCGTAATTCTAATTCACATCGCTTGAATAAGCCAAAATGTCCGAACACGATTTGCCAACACGTCATATAAGGACATGTTGTATTCAGTTTCAGTGAGTGTCCATTTTTTTCTATTACAAACGTGTTTTTTTTTCCTTGTTTATATACATTAATCAAGATTGTAGAGATTTTGCTGATAAATATATTCACATTCATATTTTTCTTTAATTAATTATTTTTTTTTACTAATGATTTGATTTGTTTTTTCAATAAATAAAATTTTTAAAATATCAGTTGTATTGCAGGTCTAAG